GCTTAGAATTAGAAGAATTCCATGGAAATTAGAAACTACAATAACTCAACCAACATAATAACACAGCCAGTATGAACAGCCCTAGAAGCATCAAAAAACTAAATTCCCTAAAATGCAATAAAAAATTTAAAAAACTAAATTCATAATTTAAAACATTCTGAAAGAAAATTCTACAGTCTAGACAGTTCCACTAGAGAATTATATCATTTAAATAATTGCCATTAATATTAAAGAAGCTCTTCTAGAATATTCAAGAGGGAGCATTTCCAAATTCAATTTATGAAGATGGCACTACCCTGATAGCAAAACCATACAATGACAATACAGAAGAAACAAACCAATCAATCAATCAATCAAACTATAAGCCAATATCACTAATTAACTGGGACACAATAATCCCTAATAAAACATGAGCAAACCAAATTTCAGAATATATAAAAAGAATGAAACATGATGACTAAAAGGGATTTATTTCAAGTATACAAGGGCAAGACTGATTCAACATTAAGAAATTAATCAATGTAATCTACCATATCAATAAGTTATGGAAACAAAATATGATCATGTAAATTGACACTGAAAATACATCTGACAAAATTTAACACTCCTTTCCAACAAGGAAAAAAAAAACTCTTAGCAATTTAGAATAGATGGGAGTTACTTCAACTTGATAAAGGCCATTTAAAAATACTGACAACTAAAATCATACTCAATGTTGAAAGACTGAGTGATTCCTCCAATATTGGAAGAAAGGAAAGAATGTTTCACTGCTTTCCTTTTCTTTTTCTTTTTTTCTTTGAGACAGAGTCTCACTGTTGCCCAGGCTGATGTCCATTGGCATGATTTCAGCTCACTGCAACCACTGCCTCCCAGTCGCAGGTGATTCTCATGTCTCAGCCTCCCAAGCAGCTGAGATTACAGGTGTGAGCTGCCACACCCAGCTAATTTTTGTATTTTTAGTAGAGACTGGGTTTCGCCATGTTGGCCAGGCTGGTCTTGAACTCCTGGCCTCAAGTGATCTGCCTGCCTCAGCCTCCCGAAGTGCTGGGATTACAGATGTGAGCCACCAAGCCCAGATTCACCACTCTTACTCAACATGGTACTGAAAGCTCTAGCCATGGAAATAAAGCAAGACTAAAAGGTAAAAAGCACATATTTTGGAATGGGAAAAAACACACAAACTATCCCTGTCTGCAAATGACATGATTATCTACATATAAGATGGCAAGGAATCTTAAAAAACATACAAAAAACCTCCTAAAAAGGGAGTTCAGCAAGGTCAGAGGATACAATGTCAACAAACAAAAATCAATCACTTCTCTGTATATAGCAACAAGAAATAAAATTTAAAACACAATATCATTTGCAATCACTCCAGAGAAAATGAAATAGTTATAGACTTAACAACACATATAGAGAATGTCTGTTCCGAAAATCACAAAATACTGATAAAAGAAACCAAAGAAGACCTAAATAAATGGAAAGACATAGCACATTCATATTTTAGAGACTTACCATAGTAAAGATGTTAATTTTCCTCAAATTGATCTATAAGCTAAGCTCAATTATATTCAAAATCCCAGCAAGATTTTTGCTTTTCTTTCTTTCTTTCTTTTTTTCAGACTCAGAAAGAAAGATTATTCTAAAGCTTATATGGAAAGATAGAGATATTTCGATAGCTACACTAATGGTGACAAATAAGAATAACATAAGAGGAATTACTCTACATAATATTAAGAATTACTGTATAGCCAAGGTAATTAGGGGAGCATGATGTTCGCAAACATATTGATATGTGGATGAATGGAAAAAAATGTAGAACACAGAAATAGACCAATGCAGATTATATTGAACTGATTATTTTCAAGGGTACACAATACAATGGAGAAAAATAGCTTTTTTCAATCAATTTGGTCAGAGCAATTGAACACGTATAGGCAATAATTAGAACCTCAATGTAAACCACTTTATACAAAAATTAACTCAAAATATACCATAAACTTAAATATAAAACTTAAAAGTTAAAAATAGGAGAAAATTTTCAACCTTTATGATCAAGGGTTAGGCAAAGAGTTCTTAGACCTAACACTAAAAGCAGTACCAATTAAAGGAAAATTGATAAGCTGGACATAATTGAACAGTTTTTAAAAAATTTTTTTGTTGGCTCACGCCTGTAATCCCAGCACTTTGGGAGGCCAAGGAGGGCGGATCAGGAGGTCAAGAGATCGAGATCATCCTGGCCAACACGGTGAAACCCCGTCTCTACTAAAAATACAAAAAAAAATTACCCAGGCATGGTGGCACACACCTGTGGTCCCAGCAACTCAGGAGGCTGAGGCGGAAGAATAGCTTGAACCCAGGAGGCAGAGGCTGCAATGAGCCAAGATTGTGCCACTGCACTCCACCCTCGTGACAGAGCAAGACTCCATCTAAAAAAAAAAAAAAAAAAAAAAAAACAAAAACTCTTTTGTTCTACAAGATACCCTGTTAAAAGGACGAAAAGTCAAACCTCAAACTGGGAGAACATATTTGCAAGCCACGTAACCATCAAAAGGCTTGTATCAGGAATATACAAAGAAATTGCAAGACTCAATAATAAAGAGCAATGTAATTAGCAAATGAGAAACACACATTAACAGAGATTTCACTAGAGAGGGTACTCAGATGACAAAGAAGCACCTGAAAATATGTTGTCAACATCATTAGTCATCAGGGCAATGCAAACTAAAACTATGGAGAGATTCATTACATATCCATCAAAATAGCTAAAATTTTTAAATAGTGATGAAAGCAGAAAAACTGGCAAAGATATCATAAAAGTAGATTACTCATGTATCACTCCTTGAAATGTAAAATGGTACAGGCACTCTGAAAAGCAATTTGAGATTTTCTATAAAACAAAACATATAATTACCATATAACCCTATAATTACACTCATGAGCATTTATCCCAGAAAAAATAAAAACTTATGCTCATACAAAACTTGTACAAGAATATTAAAGCAGCTTATTTGTGATAGCTAAAAAACAGAATCTGTTCCTTTGTTCTTCAACAGGTCAATGGTTAAACAAATTGTGATATATTTATCATGGAATACTACTCAGCAATAAAAAGGAACAAAATATTGATACATTCAATAACTTGGTTGAATCTCCTGCAATATTTTGCTGCAAAAAATTGTGCTGCAAGAAGAAAACAGAAGGCTGCATAATGTGTGATTCAATTTATGTAATATATTTGTGATAACAAAAATTTTAGAAATAGAAGATTATCAGCATCCACAGTTTAGGAATCATGGGTGTGAGGCAGACGGGAAGTAGAAATAGTTGTAATAGAGCCAGGAGGGATTTTCTTGTGGTATTGGAACTGTTCACTATCTTGACTCTGATGGTGGATACAAGAATCTACACAGGTGATAAAAAAATGTGTAGAATGCATACACACACAAACACACACACACACACAAAACCTTCCTTCAACCCTGTCCATCACACCAAAAGAGGGGCAGTGCTGTCCTTATATTGCAACTGTGGTAAGAAATGGACTTCTGATGAGAGAGGTCATCTACTCTGGAAACAAGAAAAAAATCTTTTTTCAAGGACAGAGGCATCTTGAACCTGTCTGTCCATACATAGCACAAACAAGCAAATCTGAGTGATAGTCATAGATATGTCAAAGTGCAGAATGCATCAAAAATGGCTCTGCTTAAATTTCAAAATGAAAATTAAATATTTATACTGGGTTAATAGCTTGTTTTTTTCCTACCATGTGTCAACTGTTTGATTCCTATGCAAAACGGCATGATGTGCTCAATCAGAACTTCTCAACAACACAAAGAAAGAAAATAATTGAGGATCTACATTTAGTTTATAGAAATGAAAAAGAAAGAATTTTTTTTTTTTTTTCTGAGACAGGGTCTCACTTCGTAACCCAGCCTGGAGTGCAGTCTCTCAATCTCGGCTCACTGTAGCCTCGACCTCTTGGGTTCAAGTGATCCTCTTGCCTCAGCCCCACAAGTAGCTGAGACTACAGGCATGTGCCACCACTCCCAGCTATATTTTTTAAATAATTTTTGTAGAGGTGGGGTTTCACCATGTTGCCCAGGCTGGTCTCCAACTCCTGGGCTCAAGCCATCTGCCCGCCTTGGCCTCCCCAAGTGCTAGGTGCTAGGATCATGCTAGGATTACAGGCATGAACCACTGCATCCGGCCTGAATAAAAGGGAATTTTTTAAAAGGTATATATCTAATACCATGTAATCAGCAGAAAATATTCCAGATTAATTCTGCAGGTGGTGGATAAATAGAGGCAAAAGAACACCACCTATGGAAACCACATTTTGCTAGGGAAACAAGGAGAATCATACATATATGGATATAAATAAAGAAACATTTAAAATTTTAACACTAACTTTGATAGGTAAATTTACCATGAACCGAAATATACTTTTGATTTTAAAAAACAACAAATGCCCGGGAGGTGGAGTTTGCAGTGAGCCAAGATTGTGCCACTGCACTCCAGCCTGAAGACAGAAATAAAATAAAACAAAATAAAATAAAATAAAAACAACACGTGAATCGTCATTCATCCTGGTCAAATAAATAATTTGTAACAAAGTTAATCTCCATGTCAGTCACTTGGTTCTTTGTTATACTCATATCCATCCATATTTTTCAACCAGTCTCAGTAGAATCGCATTTTGATTTTTTTGACACCAAACATTTGCCTAATGTAAAATTTAATGAAGTGAACCTGACAATACTTTAAAATTATATTAAAATGTGAATGTTTGCAAAAATCCAATTATTAATATATTCAATTGTCGAATGTTGTTATTATAATAAAAATAACAGAGAATGAGGTTACAATTTTCTAAAAATGTGTCCTTTCAGTTCAACGTAAGGAAACTATGTCAGAAAAAAATACAGAATATTACTTTGAACCTCATTTTTATTTAAAAAGTATTCAAAGTGTCAGCAGGAACTATGAAGATTACATACCCAATTAGAGGAATTTCTGTTGATTTACTTCCTATTGAAATAAGTATTCGATCAGAAGTGTTTTCGTCTTTATCCGGATGATATTCCACTGTAGCTGTCATGTGAAGGCCAGCAGCAAGTTCTTTATCCAGACTGGTCAACATCAGTTTGAACTTCAGTGGGAGAAAGAGAATCAAATTATACATATTAACTGCTTAAAAAAAAAAAACAGGAGCAACTATAGTTAGGAGTGTTATCAAAATATAGGCTGTATTCTTGCTCTTAATGGCAAAGACTTTTTAATTTAATTTGTTTTTCTTTTTTTGTTTTGAGACAAGGCTTGCTCTTTCACTAGGCTGGAGTGCAGTGACACAATCTCGGTTCACTGCAACCTCTGTCTCCTGGGTTCAAGCAATTCTCCTGCCTCAGCTTCCCAAGTAGCTTGGACTACAGGCATGCACCACCACACCCAGCCGATTTTTTGTATTTTTAGTAGAGACGAGGTTTCACCATGTTGGCCAGGATAGTCTCTATTTCTTGATCTCATGATCCGCCCACCTCAGCCTCCCAAAGTGCTAGGATTATAGGCATGAGCCACTGTACCTGGCCTTTTAATTTTATTTTTAATTGACAAATAATAATTGTATATATTCATTGAATACAATGTAATGTACAGATACAGGTATATATTGTGGAATGAGCAAATCAGGCTAATTAACATATCTATCACATCATTTATTTATTTGTACTGAGAACATTTAAAATCCATTCTTTTAGCAATTTTGAGATCTTCAATACATTATTATTAACTATAGTCACCTTGCTGTGTGATAGATCACCAAAACTAATTCCTCCTGTTTAACTGAAACTTTGTACCCTTTGACCAACATTTGTCCTTTCTCTACCCACCCCAACCCTCAGCCTCTGGTAACCACCATTCTACTCTCTACTTCTGTGAACCTGAATTTTTATGTTTCACATATAAGTGAGAGAACGTGGCATTTGTCTTATGTACCTAAAGACAAAGACTTAATGCTCATGTTTTTATCTATCCAATTCCAGATCTTTAAGTATGCTTTCAAGAGTACACAACTTGAGTCTGACAATGCAGTTAGCTAAGAAACACATAAATGCTAACGAGCTACTTTAAACATATAAGATACTTACAGAACTAACGTGGCCTCTAGTCTAAGAAGCTTAAAATCTAAATACAGAAAAAAGGAAGAACAACCTAATAAAAATATTGCTCAATCATATCCATACATAATATATACCAACATGCACATATATATGTATATTTAATATACTTTATCCATGGCAATTTGAGCTTTATAACTTGGAGGAAATATAAAAGAATAATATAACAAATAGGATAAAAACACTTTTGTTCTAGTAAGACATTTGCTAGATGCCAGGAAAAATATAAAGGGAGAATAAAAGAGAAATAATGTCTGTTGTGCATTTATAATGTGTCAAGCATTTTACATCTATTATCTTATGCAAATACACTTCTACAGTCCTGTGAGGCTGATAGTAAAGGCTCTCAGTATATAGATGAGGGAACTGGGACATGTAAAGTATAATTAATGTCTCAAGTCACTCAGGAAGTGAAGACTCAAAAACACATCTGTCTGACTCTAAATCATAAGCACTTCCTCCCCTTCAACTAGAAAGAGTCCCTCTCCTGAATATATAATCTCTTTAAGGAAGCAGACTATATACCCCTTGAAAATTAAATATAAGCCAGGAACTAGTTAAGCGCCATATGAGTGATACAGACATAGCATCATGAAAATCCATAAGAGGACATGATTATTATGGACTAGAAAGGAGTGTATCTTGCCTAGTCTTAGAGAATGGATGTTAAAGGTGGAGAAGAAGCAAAGAAGGTGCTTATTATAGGTGTAAAAATAGTTCAGACACAGGCAGAAGCAAGAATAAGCAAAATAGTCTCTCAGAAAGCAGATAATAAGCCAGCCTCCCTAGGCAAGAGTCCTCAATCAGAAACAATGGAGGTTATGTTGAAAATAATTATTCAGAGATTTTAATGTGAGGCTGAGTCTAAATAGTGCTTTGCAGCAATTAAGGATATACAGAAGGGGAGTGATTTGGAATTAACATTGATCTGGGAGCTTCACACTTTCAGCAAACAATGCTGATAGCTCATAACTACCACATTCCGACCCTCACCCCTCCTGCAATTATAGAACAAAAGGAATACAAGGGATACAATATTTTCCACATAAGCCTTTGGGTGGTGGAAATCCATGTATCAGGTTTGACTGTCTTTTTTTAAGTAAACTGTAGTTTCAAGAAGGAAAACCAATACTTCAGAACCACGTGCTTTTGGTCAAACTGCATGTTGCTGAGCACTCTTAGTGAGATGCAAGTATGTGCAAGGCACCATCCCTACTCTTAACAGTTTGTGAGCTGAAAATTGAGGCAGTACTAACATTTACCAAAAGGCAAAAGGGCACAAATTCAAACTATAAGAAATGTCTGTAAATGAAAATGGTATCCAGTATGTCAGAAATAATTTGGAAGAAAAATAATGAGTGACGTCTTAGAGAAAATGAGGACTTACATTGACCTTAAAGGATGGATGGGATTTTGAAAGGGATAATTATTGCAGATGACAGGGAATGAAAATGTGGGTGCAGGCCGGAGGCGCGGTGGCTCACGCCTGTAATCCCAGCACTTTGGGAGTCCGAGGAGGATGGATCACGAGGTCAAGAGATTGAGACCATCCTGGTCAACATGGTGAAACCCCGTCTCTACTAAAAACACAAAAAAATTAGCTGGGCATGGTGGTGTGTGCCTGTAATCCCAGCTACTCAGGAGGTTGAGGCAGGAGAATTGCCTGAACCCAGGAGACGGAGGTTGCGGTGAGCCGAGATCGTGCCATTGCACTCCAGCCTGGGTAACAAGAGCAAAACTCCGTCTCAAAAAAAAAAAAAAGAAAAAAAAGAAAATGTGGGTAAGAAGAAAAAGAGGTCTGTCATAAGGGAGAGGGGGCAGTTATGAGTAAGACTGGTCTGACCAGACCAGAGGCTACACAAGCCATAAAATCATTCTTAGATTAATAATGTTGGTGAGATTGAAGGATGGTCTTGAAAATCAGTAATAGTACTATCAATTCTATTTGAATTGACAATTCAAATTCACATTGGCACACAATTAAAAGTATGTGTCTTCTTATTTTTCTACCAGCAACCTATGGCACATAGTGGGTATTCAATACATAGGGTCAATGCAGGTTCTTGAGTCTGGGTGGAAAACGAGCACTGCTGTATGTTAGAGGAATCATTTTCTGGGTAATTACAATAGTGATGATGACAATGACCTTTCCACAGCACCTTGTTTTCACTTTTTCTTATCCCCTTCCCCCCCCAAGATGCAGTTTTCACAATTTATCTAATTCCCTTTATGCCTATGAAGGACCAGTAGTGCATCTCATAGTCTTGCAACAAAGGAAAATTTACACTGATATTGGTTTCTAACTAGTAAGCATATCCGGATATTCTCTTGTCAATGTCAAGACCTATGGAATAAATTGTTTTCCGTTATACCCTAGATAAAAATCAAAATACAACCAATTATAATATTTTTCTTGTTACTGCACAGAAACCATCCATACAATTATTTCCTGAACATCCATAAAATAGTGTTTGTCCACATCCAAACATTACCACCAGCTTGAATTTCAAAAGAAAGTATTTTCAGATACACATTCAATTGTTCCATAAATATGTGCTAATATAGTGAAATAACACCGCTTCTCCCTAATTTTACAGTATCTGGAGTAAGCAAGTACTTTTTGATTTAAAGAGGAGTTAATAGTCTCTTGAGATATACTTTTTAATAAAAATATTTAAATATAAAAATCATTAAAACATAATTCCATTTATATGAAAGCCAAGGAAAGGGAAAACTCATCTATGGTGTTAGAAATCAGAATAGTGGTCAGTTCCGCAGGGTGATTACTCCAGGTACTGTAAGGAGGAAGCCCCGGTGATCTTATGGGGTGGTGGACATATTCTATTGTTTGATCCAGGTAGTAGCTAATGGAGATCATCTATCTACCTATTTACACACACACATACACACGTTTAGTTTTTTGTAAATTCATCAAACATTACTTTTGAGATGTGTGCACTTTCATGTCGGCAAATAATACACCAATTTTTTTTTTTTTTTTTTTTTTTGAGATGGGGTTTCACTGCTGTTACCCAGGCTGGAGTGCAATGGTGCTATCTCGGCTCACCACAACCTCCGCCTCCTGGATTCAGGCAATTCTCCTGCCTCAGCCTCCCGAGTAGCTGGGATTACAGGCGTGCGCCACCATGCCCAGCTAATTTTTTGTATTTTTAGTAGAGACGGAGTTTCACCATGTTGACCGGGATGGTCTCGATCTCTTGACCTCGTGATCCACCCGCCTCGGCCTCCCAAAGTGCTGGGATTACAGGCTTGAGCCACCGCGCCCAGTCAATACACCAATTTTTTAACAGAATAAAATTATAACATGGAAGTCCTTTTTCTCATTGCTCTTCTAATCGTTAACATAGGTTTTTCTACATATATACAAAGAAATACATGTAAATTTAATCTAAAAATAATGGACATCTTTTTATTTCTACATATAAGTCAAGCTGTATTCAACAATATTTATCATTAGGGCCATCTCTTGAAATTTTCAGTTATTTATTGCTTATATTTCAAAAATTCTCATCATGTTTCCTATATCAAAAATGTGATCATACTGAACTAATAACCATCCATTCACATACATTATGTAAAATAACATGGTGATACACAGAGGAAATTCTTCCGACTTTTATATTAGAAAATAGAAACATTAACTTTCGTGATGGTTAGATCTGTACTAAAACCCCTTCATTCCTTTCTAAAAGTTCTGTGAGGGCAGGGCTGTGCCCATTCTGTATTCCTCATGTCTATTGCCTGTTATATAGCATGTGCTTAACAAATGTTTGTTAAAATGTGAAATAATTAACCTTTCCACTAATCCTACCGCTCCTGGAGTTATCAGGCACTTTGTGACTCAAAGCGCAGTTAATAGAGAATTTTGTTCTCATAATTCTTAAGGCAACTACAAAATCATAAAACCAAGTTGCACATATTTGGGGATTGTTCAGAAGTTTCTAAACCCAGGTTGAAGAAATGGGGAGGCTCTAGATCAGCTTTTCTCCACCCTGTCTTTTCCATCTCCTAATCCTTAACAAAAGAGAAAACAAAGAGGAAAAAAAGAAAAGCAGACACACAGAAACCTCTCACTGTTTCCCGGGAAGCCCAATTCTTCCTCCATCCCGGCAGGAGGCAGATGTCTACTCCCTGGGGCAAAGAGAGACGCCAAGTGAGGAGGCGCTCTCACAACGTCCTGCTCCCAGCACCCCTTAGTGTGTCACCTGTGGCTTGGTGGGCTCCTCAAACCGGATTTTCTGGTTCCAGCGGCCAAGGTTATGAACAACAAACGAGAGGTGGTACACACTCCCGGCCGTCGCGTCCAGGAACCTCAGCTCAGGCGGGATTACCCGCAGGTTCATGTCTCTCCCCGGGCTCTCAATGTCCCGGGGGACGAGGGAACCCCGGGGGACGAGGGAACCCCTTGGGGTGTTCATAGCTGCCCTCTCAGTAAACGAAAAACAGAGTAGGATCTGACCGATCAAGGATTAACGCGGAAGACCGTCGCTAGGCAACCATCGGACGCAAAGCGCTAGTTGCAAGCCCTGCCCTCATTGGCGCCCCCCAAGCTGCGCGAATTGTTACGCAAATAGAACCCTCAGGTCACAGGTGTCACCAGAGTAACTGAAAAACACCTGTAGCAACCCAAACGTCAGAGGCATCTCACTTTGCCATGGCATAGCAAGACATTAAAATCACACTGGGTTAGTGGGCATTTTCCTGAACCTCTCTTAAGACCAAGTTTAAAGTACCACGCATTTCAAAGCAATCGGTCCACAGATGCACTGTAAATTGGCCTTATAATCCAATTAAAATTTAAATTTACAAAGAATAAAAAGACCAGTGAAAGTGATGTGCCCACGTGGTCTATTAAGGCAGCAAGATATAACAGAAAGGGAGAAATGTAGAAGCAAAGTCAGTGTCTCCTAGATGTCCTGCCCAGTGGCCTTTATGCCAGTGTTTCTGAATCAGAATATTTCTTACAATACTAAAATATTAGATTAATATGAATACCAATCAGTAGCTATGGATATAGCTTACTTTTATTCATGATGAATAATAATGTAGATCTTTGTTGACATAAGAGATATCCATTATACAGTATTAAATTTCAAAATTGACCAAACAGTATGCATATTGTGACACCTATATCTTTTTAAACATGCATGCGTGCGCACACACACACACACACAATGTAAAAGCACTCCTCTAGGTCTTTTCTATAAAATGCAGATTCTGTTTCAGTATGTCTGAAGCAAGGCCTAACTGTGTTTATAACAAGCAGGCTCCCAGGTAATTACAATGCTGCCGGTTCAGGGGCCACATGTTGAATATGGAGGCTTTAGGAACCTTGTTAACTATTCCAGGGTCTTCATTTGTGAAATGGTGTTGCTCGGGAGATAGAGATCACACATCTTCACTGCTAGATGAGGACTTTTCCAACAAACTCATATTCACATTGCCACGTCCCTACTCTCTCCTCGTCCTTTTATTGTCTGAGAGTTTCAAAACTACCACATGCTTTCATTTCCTCCTTGCTGCTACACTTTATATTCACTGAGGAGAATGGCCTCTCCATCTGCCAGACAGTTAATCATTCTTCAACAGTAAAACTTTTCCCACAACACTTTAAAAAGGTTCTCACAGTACCGTAATGATAAAGAATTTCCTGCTTCATTTTCCACAAGGATTAGTAAGTAGCTCTAAATACAAAGACAAGTAGTCACATTTCTTGGAACTGCTGGCAGTAGTTGAAAACAGCAGAAGTGGTGATGATGATTATTATTTGCAAATTCTTAGGAATTGATAGATGCAAACCATCAACATTATCTTTCAAAATTCTATATACCTTGATTTAATAAGTGGGAGATGTGAATCATGGCTGGAATTTTTATACTAGTTGCTACTACTATATCACAATACAAATCCTATTCATATTCCTGTGCCCTTAAGCAGGGCAATTTTATAGCACTGAAATAACAATGGCTCATATAACTTGACTGAATCAAGACCACAATTCATACAAAGCCCTTCAATCAATTTCTAAAAAAATTGGAAATTCCAAAGAGGTCTCAAAACTCCCTATTTTTTACTCTCAAGGAGAAAACCCAAGTCTGGACTTCCATGTACAATCCAAAGATATGGCAATAAAAATCAAATGAAGAACAATTTTGTTTTTCTGTTCTGTTGGTATTCTCATCAACAAAGGCAGAATGTCACATAGCTCTACAATTTCAGCAAGCCTAAAGCTCAATCCATTGTCCTTAGTAACTATACATAAACCTTCTTGGCTTCTTATATATTCTTTTATCTACTCAAACTATTAATTTTAGATGAAATATTCTAATATTTGCATCACTTCTTTATCTCTAAACTCTCTTGTTCGGCTTCTATTTTCAAATAATGGCCATATAAAGACTTTTTAATTTTTTCCATTTTTAATTTTTGTGGGTAGGTGGGTAGACATATATATATTTACGGGTTATATAAGATGGTTTGATACAGGTATGTAATATGAAATTACATCATGGAGAATGGGGTAGGCATCACCTCAAGCATTTAGCTTTTGTGTTATGAACAATTCAATTATATTCTTTCAGTTATTTTAAAATGTACAATTAAGTAATTATGGGCTACAGTCAAGTCACCCTGTTGTGCTAGCAAGTAGTAGGTCTTATTCATTCTTTTAAATGATTTTTTAATATACATTAAACATCCCCACCTCTCCTGATGCCCCCCACTACCCTTCCCAGCCTCTGGAAATTATCCTTCTACTCTCTATGCATGAGTTCACTGTTTTGATTTTTAGATCCCACATATAAGTGAAAATATGCAATGTTTCTCTTACTGTACCTGGCTTATTTCACTTAACATAATGGTCTCCAGTTCCTTCCACGTTGTTGTAAGTAACTGGATCTCATTCCTTTTTATGTCTGAATAGTTCTCCATTGTGTATATGTACCCCATTTTTTTATCCCTTTATCTGTTGATGGACACTTAGGTTGCTTCCAAATCTTAGCTATCGTGAACAGTGCTGCAACAAATATGGGAGTGCAGCTGCCTCTTTGATATACTGATTTCCTTTCTTTCAGGTATATACCCAGCAGCGGGATTGCTGGATCACAAGGTAGGTCGATTTTTAATTTATTCAGGAATCTCCAAACTGTTCTTCATAGTGGTTTTAAATAATTTACATTCCCACCAACAGTATATGAGGAGTCCCTTCCAGTATTTACTATTGCTTGATTTTTGGATAAAAGCCATTTTATTTGTGGTAAGATGATATCTCATTGTAGTTTTTATTTGCATTTCTCTGATGATCAGTGATGTCGAACACCTTTTCATGTGACTGTTTGCCATTTGTATGTCTCTTTTTGAAAAATGTCTATTTGCATTTTTGTTCATTTTATGATTGGATCATTAGATTTTTTTTTCTTATAGAGTTGTTTGAGCTCCTTATATATTCTGGTTATTAATCCCTTGTCATATGGGTAGTTTGCCACTATTTTCTCCCATTCAGTGTGCTGTCTCTTCACTTTGTGGATTATTTCCTTCGCTGTAAAGAAGCTTTTTTACTTGATGTGATCGTATTTGTCAATTTTTGCCTTGCTTGCCTGTACTTGTAGGGTACTATTCAATAAATTTTTGCCCAGAACAGTACACTGGAGAGTTTCCTCAATGCTTTCTTGTAGCAGTTTTATAGTTTAAAGTCTTAAATTTAAGTCTTTAACTCATTTTTATTTGATATTTGTTTATTACAAGGTATATGGGGCTTGTTTCCTTCTGCATATGGACATCCAGTTTTTCCAGCACCATTTATTTATTTTTATTATTCTTTAAGTTCTGAGGCACATGTGCAGATCTTGCAGAATTGTTACATAGGTATATACGTGCCATGGTGGTTTGCTGCCTCCATCCCCTCTTCACTGACATTAGGTATTTCTCCTAATGTTAGCCCTCCCCAATCTCTCCACCCCCACTATCCCTTCCCTAGACCCCAAGCCCCAACAGAACCCAGTATGTGATATTCCCCTCCCTGTGTCCACGTGTTCTCCTTGTTCAACACCACTTATGAGTGAGAACATGTGGTGTTTGTTTTCTGTTCTTGTGTCAGTTTGCTGAGAATGACAGTTTCCAGATTCATCCATGTCCCTGCAAAGAACATGAACTCTTCCTTTTTTATCCAGCACCATTTATTAAAGAGACTGTCTTTTCCCCAGTGTATGTTCTTGGCATCTTTGTCAAAAATGAGTTCACTGTAGGTATGTGGATTTGTTTCTGGGTTCTCTCTTCTGTTCCATTGGTCTATGTGTCTGTCTTTATGCCAGGACTATGCTGCTTTGGTTACTATAGCTCTGTAGTATAATCTGAAGTAAGATAATGTGATTTGTTCTGTGTCTTTCTTTTTGCTTAGGATAGTTTGGACCACTATGAGTCTTTTGTGGTTCCACATAAATTTTAGTATTGTTTTTTCTTTTTTTTTTTTTTTGAGACGGAGTTTCGCTCCTGTTGCCCAGGCTGGAGTGCAATGGCGCGATCTCGGCTCACCGCAACCTCCGCCTCCTGGGTTCAGGCAATTCTCCTGCCTCAGCCTCCCGAGTAGCTGGGAAGTATTGTTTTTTCTATTTCTGTGAAGAATGTCAGTATTGTTTTTTCTATTTCTGTGAAGAATGTCATTGGTATATTGATAGGGATTACATTGAATCTGCAGATTGATTTGGGTCTTATGGACATTTTGACAATATTGATTATTCCAACCCATGAACATGGAATATTTTTCCATGCTTTTGGTGTCCCCTTCAATTTTTTTCATTAGTGTTTCATAATTTTAATTTTAGAGATCTTTCATTTCTTTGGTTAATTCCGAGATACTTAATTTTATTTGTAGCTATTATAAGTGGGATTACTTTTTAAATTTCTTTTCCAGATTGTTCACTGTTGGCATATAGAAATGTTACTGACTTTTGTAGGTTGATTTTGCAAACTGCAATTTTACCAAATTTGTTTATCAGTTCTAGTAGCTCTTATTCTGGAGTCTTCAGATTTTTTTTTTCCAAATATAAGATCATATCATCTCAAACAGAGATAATTTGACTTCTTCCATTCCATATCTTTCTCTTGTCTGATTGCTTTAGCTAGGATTTCCAGTATTATGTTGACTAAGAGTTCAAGGCTTTTATTGAAGTATAAGCTGTTTTTAACCAAATTTTCATCAATGCATATTTATATAATTAAAGTTGAACAAATAACACAAAATGACAAGAGATTTTGCATAATAGTAATTAAAATATAAATAGTCTTATATATTATACATATAGATATATATTTTTATTTTATAAAAATCTTCTGGGGGCTTCACAGAGAACAATATCAATTATATACCATGGATTAAATATGAGTGTGCATTTTTGTTCACATTTCCAAGACAGCTTAATTGGCAAGAACTTGTATATAAAAGTCAAAAAAATTTCTTATGGAAAT